GGGGGACATGTGTGGGGATTTGCCCAGATTCCCCAAACACCGGAATTGTCAAGACCTCCCATGGGCAATACTCTTCTTGCTTACTGTAGTTGCTTTGGCTGTCTATGTCGCTTACTTCCTCATGTCAGTGAGCACTGGAGTCAATGCAGACTCTAGCTTCCAGCATTTAAAGACCCATGATCACTTGACACCACAGGACATCAAAAGTGATGCCATGACTGCAAACCTCTCTTGCATTGTTGGGTGTGTGGGTGGGTTTCTCGCAGCTTTCCTTTGGGTGATGATGGCACGCGCTTGTCCCGGACCAGTGGTCTACATTTCTTGTCCGGAAGGAAAAAAATACAATTTTTGGGGGGACATGTGTGGGGATTTGACGTCCATACTAGGATTTAAATAAGCCCATGAATTCAGTATCAGATGTGATCATGTAGGTTGGGCCAGGACTATAATAAAACGTCGGCCCCAGGACTATATTAAAACGTCGGCCCGAGGATTTTAATACGACAGAATCTCATTGAAAAAAAAGTCAGCCCCGACCTTGGCACATTAAAAAAATATAAAATGACGTCTGCCCCGAAAGATTTAAATACAGTTTTTTAATTAAAATCCTTCACCCAACGATTCAGGTACTATTCAACGAATATCAATTGCTGCCATCACTCCGGCCACTGTTGCCGCCATGCAAGCCAAGTTCCCTGCTCGCCCGGCCCATCAGGCCACTGCACAGCGTGCGGCAGCCCCGCCTGCCAACGACATAAGCTGTGATGATGTTGTGAAGGCCGCGCGCTCCTTCCCACGTGGTGCTGCGCCCGGGCCCTCTGGCATGCGACCGGACTTCCTCAAGCAACTTGTTGATGCTGGGGATGAGCAGTACGGAGCCCAGGTCCTTACAGACTTGGTCAACCTCCTTGCTGATGCGCGGGCCCCCATCGCGCTGCGTCCTTACCTCGGTGGGGCTCGTGGCACAGCTTTGGAAAAGCTGAGCAAAACTGGAGCTGCTGATGTGCGGCCTTTGTGTGCAGGAGAAACCTTGCGCCGCCTGGTCGGCAAGGTCTTGCTGCGGAGTGAGTTCCTTCTTGCCCTGCGGGCACACCTCTTGCCCCACCAGCTTGCCGTTGGAGTGCCGGCTGGGGCCGAGGTTATGCCGCACTTATACCGGCAATGGCGGCAACGCTACCAAGCCGACACCGACCAAGTTTGCCTGTCTTTTGATGAAGGGGATGCCCACAATGTGGTTGATCGGCATATGTTTTTGACGCGCATGCAAGAAGTCGCCCCTGGTCTTTCCCGATGGTTGGAGTACATTTATCCTACCGACATTGACACCAAGGTCTTCTTTCAGGACGTTGCGATCCCTTCTGCTGCAGGCGGCCAACAGGGGTGTCCTTTGATGACGGCATCGGTTGTGCAGCGACTCTTGTTGGAGAGCCTGGGATTGGCTATACCCCGCCTGCTGGCACTGCTGTGGCGTTACCCACGCTGCAGCCACCTGCGCAATTAGACATGGCGCCCTGTTATGCGGACGACGGTCTTTTGGCCGGGCCTTCTGCTGAGGTATTGCGGGCCCTGCACTGTTATGCCTCGTTTTGGCCTTCGCTTGTCCACTGCTTCCGTTGCGCCAGTTGCTGGGATCCGCCACCAGGTTGACTTTCGGCCTTTTGCTGCCTTGGGTTGTTCTATTTGCAAGGATGGCAACTTTGAAGTCCTCAAATCACCTGTTGGCGATGCAGCCTTCAACAAGGCGTATTGTTTGCAGCAAGCCGCCCAGCAAGCCACTACAGTGCAGTTGGTTGGTGGAATCGAGGACCCTCAGGTTGCCTATTATTTGTTGCGGTGGTGTTGCACTGGTGGCCGGATGAATTACTTGGCTCGCACCACTCCAGCTCAGCATTGTCTTCCAGCCATGGTGGCCTTTGACTCGGCGTTGCGTGATGCGTTTTGCGCTTCCACTGGCTTGGCATTGGACCGCCTGGCCTGGCAACAAGCTCAGCTACCTGTTGCTACTGGTGGTCTCGGACTTCGCTCTGTGGTTGACCTTGCGGATGCTGCTTACATTGGCTCTCGAGTCATGGTTCTGGATCGGTGTCGTGCCTTATGGACGCCTGCTGCTTGGGAAGGCTCTGCTGCAACAACAGACCTCGGCCTCGCTCTTGCTCGCTGTAACGGGCTGCTGCAACAAGCTGGTCTCCAACCCTGTTTGGGGGATCAGCCAGAGCGCAGCTTGAGCCAGTCAGCGATTTCACGCCGCCTGCGGGAGGTCCATGTCTTGGCTTGGAAGACTGCCGCTGGCACCGATGATATTTGTCGCCTTCATGCTTGTGCTGCTGATTCTGCGGACACGGTCTTGAACCTGGTCCCGTCGCGCATACTTGACACCAACCTCTCCAAGGATGACTTCCTGACTTGTGTAGGTGGTCGCGCCGTTTTTGTGGTTTGGCCATTGATGTGAAGGGGCGCCACCCACAGTCGTGTATGGCTGGTGGTGATGCTGTTGCGCTTCACAATAGTCTGCGGGACCTCTTGCACGGCTATTGTGCTCGTGCCCAGCTCCGCCCCCACGCCGAGGCTCCTGGACTCTTGGATGGACGGCGGCGGCCAGCAGACACGAGGTGCAACTGGTCTCCTTCCAGCACTGCCTGATGGCTCCCGCCCTGCTGGGCCTAGTGCTCTAGCCTTGGATGTGGCTATCATCAACGCCTTGGGAGCGAGTCATTGGGACGACACTTTGCGGGGAACCCATGATGCAGTCACGGCCTATGCCCAACGCAAGCGTGACCACCTCGGCACCGCCAGCTCGTGCCAACAAGCTGGCATCCTTTACCTGCCCTTGGTCTGGGACATTCAGGGCGGCAGCACGGCCGAAACTCGGGCCTTCCTTCACCGCCTTGCTGGCATGGCTGCTGCAGTTGAAGGGGTTGATTTGCTTGTGGTGAAGGCCCGCCTCTTTGACCAGCTTGCTGTTGTGCTGGCTCGAGGGGCAGGACGTGCGCTGCGACGCCGGCGTCGCGCAGCCGGTGCGACAGCGCACGCTTCCGGCCTTGTCGCTGGATTGGTGCTGGATCCTTGATTCACAAGTTTGTCTCCACCGAGCCAGTGACCACGGATGCTTGTATACCTGTGGTAGGCCAACCTCAGCAGCAGTTTGTCCTCTGGCTATGCTTTGGATGTTGCACGAATCACTCCTGCACTTCGTATTGCTCGCCTGTTGGACGTTCTTGTCGCCCTGACTCTACCGCATTTGCTTTTGGCTCCGCTCCTTTTGAACGCCTCACCTTGGCCTTCGTCTGAGTGCATCCTTCCAAGAAGGGTTTGCGCCCCCTTTTTTGTGGCTGTATCACACGCATGTTTCGACATATTTCATTTTTTGCGCAAGGTTTTTCCCTTCCAAGAAGGCTTTCCTTGCTGGGACCTGACTTTGATCAAACTGAGGTTCACGGAGCTCGTGTTTTATCTTGTATCTTTCAAGATGCTTTTACCTACTCCTATCTAGAATGACCCACTCTCATGTTCTCCAATCTGTTCTCTGAATCTATTGGATCCCTCTTTGGTTGAAGCATTGTGCAGCCTGCATTGTCCAGAGCTTCTATAGAACGGTAGCCCCTATTGTTGAGAGAGCCCGGGCTCTACAAAATGACAGTCCTTTGTTGAGAGTGCCCTGGCGCTACCCTGTCACTACAAAATCACAGATCTTCTCATCTTTTTTCAGAATCCAGACCCGCTTACCTTTCCCATTTGTTCTGTTTGATGGGCGTC